ATAATCATCTTTTCTTTTTAAGACACTTTGAGACTTTCTATGTGTTCACTATAGATATCAACACTGGAAACATTATATCATAAAAGAGCCTATATTATTTCTGAGAGTAACTGTGATGTCCTGTGCAAGTAAATCCATAGAATATCAGCTGTACTCATTTAATATTTGCAGTGAAAATGATCACATTTTTCTCTCTTTGCCAGTGCTACCTGGTTCTCATACATTTCATTTAAATTAAATCCAATTTTAATTATCTCCTCTGGATGTTTCATTGGATCTCTTTTAGGTAACATATATACTAATAATACATAATATTTCTCTAATTGTGCTATGAATTCAAAACTCACCTTAAAATGCCTTTTTCCTCCCTATAGTTTACTTTGCATATAGAGAAATCAAACAAAAATTTGATTAAAAAATAAGTCCATAAAATAATGGGCCTGGGTAAAGCACTCGTTTATATTCCTTCAAATCCAGGAAAGCCTGTAGTTGCATATGAGGTATAAATCTAACCAAAATCTGCCTTACTTCATGCTAATCCATATGCTTTTCTGAAGAGCTTTTGTTATTTTTTCCTTCTGATTTAAGCACAATCTATATACCTATTCTCTACAATTTTGACTGGTTAGACTTTTTGTCAACATTCTTTCTGTAAATGACTTTTCAAAAATAAATCCTATAAAATTATTTTTGAAACACAATAAAAAAGGGTAAAATCCACTCAAGCTTAATCACTGTGACTTGTAAAGAAGATGATATACACTACTAATATATCACTAAACAGACTCACAATCTCTTCTGCTGAATGTTACTTTAAAGCATTCTTCATGCTTAAAAAACTCAAAGCAATCATGGCCATGCAAAACCAACAAAAACTTTTATTTTGATTAAAATTCCAAAATTAATTTAAGCCTGTAGTTCTATTTATGTGAGATTTAGCCACAGATATCCATCAGAGATTATTTTCACTCTGTCAAGAATTTCTGTAATCTATTTTCTGCTTTTAAATCCTCAAAGACTGAAGATTTAAACAAGGTAACTAGTTCCACGTTTGGCTCACATTAAGTTAAATAGTCACAAAAGCAAAGAGTTAACACCTGCTTAAAAGGAAATTTGCAGCTTCCTTATTTAAAGTCTTAAGGTTTAATATCCATCAGAAAGGCTGCTGCTGCAATGAATATTTTAAACACTTCTGCCTATTACACGAGACTACACAGCAAGCAGATTCAAAAAGCTGCGAAAGACCCTGGGCAAGTGTCAGCACCCGCTGTAATTCAGGCGACCTCCCAGGACATCGGGTGCCACGGGCTCGGGGAGCTCTGCGGCGGCCGGCGGGAGGCTGTGGCGGCCAGGGGAGGTGGAGGGATCACGGCGAAGTTGCACCAAATCAGCAAGACACTTTCCGGAGAGGAAAGGTCACGGCAGGCCTCGCTGCTGCGGTGTCGTTTCCTCCGCTCGTCCCTTGGTGGAGTTCTTGAGTTAGTTTCTCCCGGCCGCCAAACGGCTCTAACCGCTTGCGGGGCGGGGGGGGGGGGGAGTTCGCCGTTGTTTCACCCCCCCCCCTTTAGAATTGGCTGTCATGTTTACTACATTTAACCTTTTCCTCGTATTATTATGAATATGTTATTTTCTTTCAATGAAAGCCCACCTGAGTTGTTTTTCCTTGTGAGAGCTTCTTCATTAGTGTTTGCACGTAATATGTGTGTGTGTATACACACACGTGTATGTATGTGTATATATGCACAATGTGTATATATATATATGCAGTGTATGTATATATTACACATACGCGTTTGTATTAACACACAATGACGTATATTTGATAACCTATAGAGCGTACACACTTGTCTCTAATGCCCCCTCTGTGACCCGGGCGGGCTCCCCGCTGCGGGTCCCGGAAGCCCCGGGAGCCCCCGACCTTCCCGGGGTGCCGGCCGGGCGGCGCTGCCGGGCGGGGGCCGCTCGCCCGCAGCTCGAGCTGCCCGGACACGGATTGCGCTGCCCCTGCCAGCGAGCGCCCCCCCGCACGCCCTGGGACTCCCGGCGGATTCCCCCGCGGCTGCTCCCGGCAGCAGGACGGAGCCTTCTCCGCACAGGGCGCGGGGGTGGCCTCGCTGGCACTGCCTGAGGGTCCGTTTAAGGACACGAGCTATTTCCTCCCGGTAGCTCTCCAACCTCCCGGGCGATGTTATTTATTACCGGCGATCCCGCATCTCACCAGATCGAGAGGACTGAACGCCGCGCCGGGGCTGAGCGCGCGCGGGCGCCATGCGCATGTGTATGTGTATATGTATGTATGTGTATATGTATGTATGTGTGTGGTAGGTGTGTGGTATGTGTGTGTATGTATGTGTGCATGAGTACGTGCGTGCATACGAGTGCGCGCCGGGCCGGGGGCTGTGCCGCGCACCAGGTCTGTCCAGGGGGCAGAGCCCCCGGCCGCTGCGCTGCCCTGCGCTGCCCATCGAGGCCGCTGCGCGCGCGGCCGCGGCAGAGCGCGGGATGGCGGCGCAGGGCGCGGGGGTAGTGGAGATTCCCCTCTCCCCGCGCCGACATGCGGCGCCGCGGCCGGAGGGGCTCGGTCAGCCCCGACCTCCCCTCCCCGCAGCCGGGCACGTGGGCCGGGAGCAGCGCTGCCATCCACCATGCAGCGCACGTCGTGCCCATTTCCCACGCCGGCCGCCTGCCCTGGGGGAGGAAAAGAGGAGGAGGAGGGGGAGGAGGAAGAGGGGGGATGAGAGAAAAGGGAGGGAGGCCGTTACCTCTGCTCCGAAAGAGGAACCAATCCACTGTGAAGGACGCGGCACTCACGAGCAGGAAAGACATTGCACATTCAGAGAGAGGTTGCATGTGAAGACACTGCAAAAGAGAGAGGAGGGGAGGGGGGCCGAGGGGGGCGCGGACGGCATGTGAAAGGCATAGTGTCTGTAAGGGAGGCCAGAGAGGGGAGAGGGGGGAGTGCACATGGCGAGAGAAAGGAATCACTTATTCCCTGGAAGAATCAAGCTCTTGCAAAGCAGGCAGTAGTAGCAGAAGACATTGGGAGTTGACGGGGAAGGAGACGTGGGCGAGAGACGAGGAGTCCATGCCGTGCAACAGCCCGGAATCCGATTAAAGTTTATGGCGGGGAGGTTAAAAGCGCGTTCATCCCGCCCCTCTTCTGGCGAATACATTAAGTTTCCTGGCTGCATTTAACAGCACAAAGGAAATGGAACAGCGGGAGCTTCGGGTTGTAATTGTACTGCTAGTGCAGGGAGCCAGTGTAATGCAGTGTGCTGGTATTCCTGCGTACTGGTATGTCTGGATCTTACACAGTGGGCAAAATTTCCTCCTCTCGGAGTTCCAGAACAGCGAGAGGGGAATTTTGATAAATTCGAGTTGCTTGGCAAATATAATAGGGATTTGGTATTAATCCTACTTAACCCGCTGCGAAGATGCTGAGCTGCCGAGCCCCCCTCCTCCGTCCGGGACTGCGGCGGTGAGCACTGAGCCTGCGCCGAGCCGCGCTTTCTCGCTGATGCTGCAGATATAAAGCCGAGTGTCTCCAGCAGCAGCGGGGGAGGGTTTTCGCGTCCTGGCGAAGCGGCAAGAGAGGCAGGGGCCGGAGCCGCCGCTGCCGGCGGAGGAGCTTCCAGCGCAGCGGAGCGAGGGCAGCGACTCCTTCCCCGTTCCCCGGCTCGGATTTTGGGCAGCGTGGGGACGGCCCCTCCGCAGGTCCCCGCGGACAGAGGTGGCCATCTGACTCCCCCCCGCCCCCCCTCCACTGACTCGCGAGTGGCAGAGACGCGCGGTGACCGCCGCTCTGAGCCGCCCCAGTGTACCCTCCGCCCTCCATCAAATATGTCCCCCCAACGAAGGAAAAGAAAAGCCATTAGACTGTTTCAAAAATAAGCCATTCCACTGCTTCACACAGACAGGGAGCCCGCACTCCGCGCCGCTCGCCGGGCGGGAAGGCGAGCGGGGGCCACCGGGCATCACGCCGAGCGGGGCCCGCGGGCGATTGAGCGGCACAAAGTCAAAAGGAGACGCAAGGTAGGGACGCTAGAATAAACAAAGTTGAGCGGAGAGTTTTTTAGCGTCAAAGTTTATTTCCCACTTACCCAGGTAGGTGACGCTACATTTTAGCAATCATCGAGCAGCCAGCCTCTGTGCGGAAATAAATGTTACTTCTTACATGTGTTTATTCGCCTAAGCCTCTCGCCCCCTCCCTAGCCTCCTTTTCGGTGATTTTTTTTTTCCCTTCTCTCCTAGGAAACCCACAAACATTGCTGAGAAGACACATTTAAATGATAGTAACAGGAAGAACATGAACACAAAGCCCCGAAGGCTCACACAGCATTGGGAAACAGGACGCGAGCCTGAGCTCTAAGGCAGCCCCCCTTCCTCCCTGGAGTTTTATCCAGTTCCAGTGACTGCAGCTATTTCACAGAGGCACCGACACGGCAGCGAGAGGTGGGAATCTGTGCGAAGCGGCTTGTCTTACCAGCGTGATTCCGCAAACGCAGAGCCCCGACCGTGCACTCACTCTGCCTACAGGAAAGGCGAATAAACATTTTCTTTAAAAAAATAATCGTTGCTTGGTTCACAGCTTAAAGCGGAGGTGGGCAGGGAAAGGGTGGCAGATAATCACTACCGATCGCGGCTTAGGGAAGGCAACAGCAGCCACACTGTGGCGTGCAGTGTGGAGCGGTGCGGAGAACGGAACGGGGCTTTTGCGATGAGCAGCTATCCCGCTTACAGCAAGAGCAGTAGCAGAGGCAGAGGGTAAGGCTGGGCTTTCTGGAGTGCAGCGCTTGACTCGTCCTCCCTCCTCCTCCCTCCCCCCCTCCCTTCCTCCCTCCCTCCTTCTCTCTCTCTCTCTCTCTCTCTCTCTTTCTGTGTATGTAGCGCAGGCGGCTCTACTGCTGCAGCGTCAGGGAAGAGCTACCGAGAGGCTTCAGCAGCTCCCACCAGTTTGGGCAAACTTGCTGGTTTACTGCCTTTTTTTTTTTTTTTTTTTTCCTCTCTTCCGAGTGGGAAGCTTCTCAGTTGTCATTCAACATTTTTTAAAGCACAAGCCGCTTTGCCGTGAAAGCGCCTGATCCGAGCCACACTCCTCTGAAAGGCACAGGAGGGAATACACAATTGCAGATTTCACCCGCCGTGGCGGTGCAGATCACAGGAAACAACTGACTGATATCATTTTATTTGCAGGCAGGACTGTGTGCTTTTTTTTTTTTTTTTTTTTTTTTTTTTTTTAACCGCCTCGCGGCTCTTTTCCCCTCCCCTTTGCCATTCCGCTTGTATGGATGTAATTCAGAATCTGTGTTAATTCACGTGGGGGATCCAGTTACATCTTGTTCCGCTCCGGGTATATTAACAAGAGACCAATAATCGCCTTTGGACACACAGCCTTGTTGCTAACCTTTGAACTGAGAGGATCAAGTTCAGATCTGGTTACCTGCATTGGGACGGGAAGGAAGAGGCGAGAGGGAGAGCGCGGGGGAGCGAGGCTGCAATCTCATTTGTGAGGCGCTCTCCGTGCTGCAGATCCAGACTGCTATAACACATGCAGTGCAAATGCAGGTAAGGCACACGCACGAACTGCGGATGCAAAAACAAACTTGGGACTGTGCTGCCTGTATGTTCTTATCTACAGCCTGGCAGATTGTGGGCAAGTGGCTTCTGCAGTTTCTGTATCGTTGCTTTGTGACTAATGACCTTGCGCAGAGTTGTTAAAAAAATCCTCTCCGGAGAAAGAGCTGAACATTTTAGGCGATCTCTGAAGATGGATTTGGGTGCTTTTCTGCCAGCCAAAGGGGATATTCTATGGACTGCTCTGTAATACACAGGCTTCGTCTGCTCTCAGTTGTACGGCTTCCGACATTATTGGGATTTTTTGATTGTTTTTCTTTGTCTTTTTTTTTAATTGATATTATTTTTAAAGAACTGTCCATTGCTAAGAGGATTTGGAGTTTTCCCGGCCACGAGCCCTTTGAATAAAGCGAATCACATTTTTTTTTCCTGTGTGTGCAGAGAGGGGGAAGAATAAAGCTAAAGCCTTGGTCGTAAACGGCTGAGCGAGCGAGAGAGAGAGCGAGAGAGAAGAGAGAGAGAGTGTGTGAATTGTAGTTAACTCTAGTGTCGAAGACGACGACCTGGGGGGCTTCAAATCGCACAGTGCTGCTCCTGCTTTTATTGCAAGCCTTGCAAAGTGATTACAGTAAAATCAGAGAGGAGGAGGAGGAGAAGGGGGAGGAGGAGGAAAATCCCATCCTATCTGCCGAGATGAATCTTTAAAAAGCAAAATACACTGTCCCGTGAACTGTAAGTATATTGCCACTGGAAGGCAGGGAGAGCAGCAGAGGAGCCCGCAGCAGGGTTTTAACCACCAATTGCACCAGCCATGAGACATTAAGTTTCCTGGAAGAGAAGGATTTTATAACTGATCACCCGGACGCTCAGCTTCGCTGTTGGTTCATCGGGGGAGTCTATTGGAGGTCGGGTGGGAGAAAGCGGAGGGGGCTTCTCGGTGCGAAGATGAGGAAGATGCGGACTCTCCTTGGCTTTGTGCATTGCTGCTGCTGCTGCTGCTTCTTGCTGCTTCTGCCTCCGCCGCTCTGGGTCAGCCTGGCGGCGGCCAAGCAGCTCCTTAGGTACCGACTGGCCGAGGAGGGACCCGCCGACATCCGCATCGGTAACGTGGCTGCCGACCTGGGCATCGTGACGGGCTCCGGAGAGGTGACATTCAGCCTGGAATCGGGCTCCGACTACCTCAAGATCGATAACATGACCGGGGAGCTGAGCACCACGGAGCGGCGCATCGACCGCGAGAAGCTGCCGCAGTGCCAGATGATCTTCGACGAGAACGAGTGCTTCCTGGACTTCGAGGTGTCGGTCATCGGCCCCTCGCAGAGCTGGGTGGACCTCTTTGAGGGCCGGGTCATCATCCTGGACATCAACGACAACACCCCCACCTTCCCCTCGCCCGTCCTCACGCTCACCGTGGAGGAGAACCGGCCCGTAGGGACCCTCTACCTGCTCCCCACCGCCACCGACAGGGACTTCGGCCGCAACGGCATCGAGCGCTACGAGCTGCTGCAGGAGCCTGGCGGGGACGGCGGCCGGCGCGGCGGCGGCGGCGGGGGGGCCTCGGCGGGCGCCGAGAGCGCCCTCTACCCCGGCGGCAGCAAGCGGCGGCAAGAGGCGGACGCGGGCCGGAGCAGCGTGTTCGAGCTGCAGGTGGCCGATACCCTGGACGGCGAGAAGCAGCCGCAGCTCATCGTGAAGGGGGCGCTGGACCGCGAGCAGCGCGACTCGTACGAGCTGAGTCTCCGCGTGCGCGACGGCGGCGAGCCGGCGCGCTCCTCGCAGGCCATCCTGCGGGTGCTCATCACCGACGTGAACGACAACAGCCCCCGCTTCGAGAAGAGCGTCTACGAGGCCGACCTGGCGGAGAACAGTAGCCCCGGGACGCCCATCCTGCAGCTGCGGGCCGCCGACCTGGACGTGGGGGTGAACGGGCAGATAGAGTACGTGTTCGGCGCGGCCACCGAGTCCGTGCGGCGCCTGCTGCGCCTCGACGAGACCTCGGGCTGGCTCAGCGTCCTGCACCGCATCGACCGCGAGGAGGTGAATCAGCTGCGCTTCACCGTCATGGCTCGCGACCGGGGCCAGCCCCCCAAGACGGACAAGGCCACGGTGGTGCTGAACATCCGCGACGAGAATGACAACGTGCCCACCATCGACATCCGTAAGATCGGGCGCATCCCGCTGCGGGACGGCGTGGCCAGTGTGGCTGAAGACGTGCTGGTGGACACCCCCATCGCGCTGGTGCAGGTCTCGGACCGTGACCAGGGTGAGAATGGCGTGGTGACCTGCACCGTGGTGGGGGACGTACCCTTCCAGCTCAAGCCGGCGAGTGAGGGCGAGGGGGAGCCGCAGAACAAGCGCAAGTACTTCCTGCACACCTCGGCGCCCCTGGACTACGAGGCCGTCCGCGACTACAACGTCGTCATCGTGGCCGTGGACTCGGGCAGCCCCAGCCTGTCCAGCAACAACTCCCTGCTGGTGCGGGTTGCGGACACCAACGACAACCCGCCGGTGTTCAGCCAGGCCGTGCTGGAGGTCTCCTTCCCCGAGAACAACCTGCCCGGCGAGCGCGTGGCCACCGTGGTGGCCACGGACGCGGACAGCGGCAAGAACGCCGAGATCACCTACTCGCTGGAGCCGTCGCCCCTCTCTCCCGAGGCGCCGGGCGGCCTCTTCACCATCGACCCGGACTCGGGCGACGTGTCGGTGCAGGCGGTGCTGGACCGCGAGCAGCGCGACACCTACGAGTTCCAGGTGACGGCGCGCGACAAGGGGGTGCCGCCGCTGCAGGGCTCCGCCACGGTGGTGGTGCGCGTGGCAGACCGCAACGACAACGAGCCGCGCTTCATGCAGGACGTGTTCACCTTCTACGTGAAGGAGAACCTGCAGCCCAACAGTCCCGTGGGCATGGTCACCGTCATGGACCTGGACAAGGGCCGCAACGCCGAGCTCAGCCTCTCCATCCAGCCCAGCGAGCACGACCAGGCCGCCGGCATCTTCTCCATCGAGAACGACACGGGCACCATCTACTCCACCGTCTCCTTCGACCGGGAGCAGCAGACGAGCTACACCTTCCGGGTGAAGGCGGTGGACGGCGGCGAGCCGCCGCGCTCGGCCACTGCCACCGTGTCCCTCTTCGTCATGGACGAGAACGACAACGCGCCCGCCGTCACCTTCCCCAGCAACAGCTCCTACACGGTGCTGCCTCCCTCCAGCAACCTGCGCACCGTGGTGGCCACCGTGGTGGCCACGGACGCCGACACCGGCCTCAACGCCGACCTCAATTACAGCATCGTGGGCGGAAACCCCTTCCGCCTCTTCGAGATCGACCCGGCCAGCGGCGTCGTGTCCCTGGTGGGCAAGCTGGCGCCCAAGCACTATGGCCTGCACCGCCTCGTGGTGCAGGTCAACGACAGCGGGCAGCCGCCGCAGTCCACCACAGCTCTGCTCCACGTCTTCGTCAACGAGAGCCTCTCCAACGCCACCGTGGTGGAGAGCCAGGTGGCGCGCAGCCTGCACACGCCGCTGGCCCAGGACATCGCCGGCGACCCGAGCTACGAGCTGAGCAAGCAGCGCCTCAGCATCGTCATCGGCGTGGTGGCCGGCATCATGACCGTGGTGCTGCTCATCCTCGTGGTGGTCATGGCCCGCTACTGCCGCTCCAAGGGCAAGCACGGCTACGAGGCCGGCAAGAAGGACCATGAGGACTTCTTCACGCCGCAGCCGCACGACAAGGCCAAGAAGCCCAAGAAGGACAAGAAGGGCAAGAAGGGCAAGCAGCCCCTCTACAGCAGCATCGTCACCGTGGAGGCCTCCAAGCCCAACGGGCAGCGCTACGACAGCGTCAACGAGAAGCTCTCGGACAGCCCCAGCATGGGGCGCTACCGCTCGGTCAACGGCGGCCCGGGCAGCCCCGACCTGGCGCGCCACTACAAGTCCAGCTCGCCGCTGCCCACCGTGCAGCTGCACCCGCAGTCCCCCACCGCCGGCAAGAAGCACCAGGCCGTGCAGGACCTGCCGCCGGCCAACACCTTCGTGGGCGCCGGCGACAACATCTCCATCGGCTCGGACCACTGCTCTGAGTACAGCTGTCAGGCCGGCAGCAAGTACAGCAAGCAGGTAAGAGAGCCGCGTGTCCCCGCTGTAACCGCGCACA